ATTGTTCTGTAGTTTCCACATTCTGTTGGGTCACCTTTCTTTGGGATAGGAACAAATATAGATCTCTTCCAGTCAGTTGGCCAAGTGGTTGTTTTCCAGATTTCTTGGCACAACTTGGTGAGCACATCCAGGGCAGCATCTGTTAACTGAAATATGTCAATTGGTATACATCTATTCCTGGAGACTTATTTTTGCCATTTCCTTCAAAGCAGCCTGGACTTCTTCTTTCATCACCATAGGCTCTTGCTCACATGTTGTTTCATGAAATTCTTCTGTATCTTCCAATTCCTTTCTATACAGTGACTCAGTATATTCTTTCCATCTTCTTTTAATACTTCCTGGATCATTTAACATTCTGCTGAAAGCATCCTTGATTATAGTAACTTGAGGTTTGAATTTGAATGAATATCCGATAGACCGCTAAAATAACAAACAGATATGTTTGGGGGAAGTGCAGCATGGCCATGGAGGCAAAGATAGTGAAGTTTCATCTCTTAATCTTTAGGCATGTTGGTAGGAGAGGCTATTCCTTGGAAAGGGATATCATGCATGGAAAGATGGAGGGCCAGTAAAAGCCAGAAAGACCCACAATGAGATGGATTAACACGGTGATTGAGGCAGTGAGATCAATAATGAGAACAGTACTAGGTAGGATAATTTCCAGGTCTGTTGTTCATTGGGTCACTATGAATGATACTCAACTTGATGGCACTTGATAATAACAACAACATACATTGCAGAGGAAAGAAGAGTGACCCCTGTGTGACCTTCTAGAGAAGACCAATGAGGAGGTAGTCACAGCACTAATCCTATGACCACTAAACACCTAGCCAAATACACTTAATCATAAATGAGAAAACCTACAGCACATATAGTGATAACTATTCACCATCCAGAATGCTAAAGAACAAAGAGGTCAGTCTGAAGACTAAGGTGCACCTGTTCCAGGTCATGGTCTTCACAATTACTTGCTATGCACCAGAGAGCTAGACAATGACTAAGGATTATAGAAAAAGAATCAATGCCTTTGAGTTGTGGTGTTGGAGAAGAGTATTAAACAGTATCATGGACCAAAAGGAGAACAGATAGGTTTAATCTGGGGAAGGTGAAACGTGTTGCTTCCTAGAGGCAAGGATTTTAAAGCTCCATCTGACATAGTTTGAGCATGTTGCAAGGAGGGGCCGTCCTTGGAGAGGAACATCATGCTTGGAAGGGTGGAGGGACACCATAGGAGAGGGAGACCCTAGAGGAGATGAATTGGCACAGTAACTGGGATAATTGGGGGAGTTATACTAAAGACAGTGAGACAGCCTCAGAATAGGGCAGGGCTGAGAGCTATTGTACATAGAGTTGCTATGAGTCAAAGTCAACTCAATGGCACACAACAAAAACCAACCAGATAGATGCCATCTAGGAAGCCAAATGCATGTCTCCTGATTTGCATAATATTTTCTAAGATAACTTTCTAATTGCACTGGGAAAACCTGCTGTCAGGGACAACTCTAAGGTAATGAGAAGCAATGATGTCAATCTAGAGATTAAGGTGGGCCTGATACAGGCGATAGTCATTACAATTACTTGTTATGTATCAGAGAGCTGGACAATGTCTAGAGATGATAGAAGGATAATTGATACTTTTGAATTGTGGTGCTGGAAAAGAGTCTTGAACATACCACGGATCACAAAAGAAAAAATAGGTCTGTCTTGGAGAAGTTGAAACTAATTTTCTTCTGGAAGGCTAGGTTTTGAAGCTCTGTCTCAGATACCTTGGTCATGTGGCTAGTAGGAACCAATTCTTAAAGAAAGATATCATGCTCAGATGGGTGGAGGGACAGCACAGGAGAGGAAGACCACAGATAAGATGGATTGATACAGTAACGTGCAATGAGGGTAGGTGTATTGGAGTCAATGAGACTGGCTCAGGACAGGGAAGGCTCAGAGTTGTACATATGGTCGCTACAAGTTGCAAGCAATTTGACAGCACAAACAACAAGATAATTTTAGCTTTTCCTCCTCAAAGTGCTAAATGAGCATTAACATTTCCTCACATCTTTAACTTAACACCCAAATACTCCTTCAAAGCTTCCCTTCCTTGAGACAGATGTGGAAAGCTCATAGCCCTCTATCCTATATACCTATGCTGTTGTTGTTGTTGTTCATTGAGATAGACTCAAAACCAACTCATAGTTGACCCCTAGCAAGTTTTATGAGATGAAATTGTTCATTTTCTCCTGCAGAGCAGCTGGTATATTCAAGCCACCCCCTTTGGGTTGGCTGTGTACTTCTTACCATTAGTCCACCAGAGCTCCCTATTTTATATGTATACAGGCATACTAGAGTTCCTTTTTCTGTTCCAAATAATGTCTTAAAGATTAGTTTTTCCAGAGACAGGAGGCAGAACTATGGTTTTCTGGTAAGATTATCTATGCTATTAAATCATAGCAAGGTTTTTGGGTAGAACTGCTCTAAAGAGATGCTCTGGGAGAAATGTAACTTTTTCCCATCTTACCTATTTCATTTTATTCAAAAATTTTCTTCTTTTACACTGTTCTCAATAAAAACTACATTTCTTGATTATTTGCAAGTATTGTGGTAATTTTGCCTTACAATGTGTTAAGGCTCAGCCCTGCCTCCATTCTAATTCCCATTCTCATATACTCATCTCCTTCCTGTGTTCTACTTTACCCTTTATTTCATCACCTTCTAAATTATTAATAATGTGTTTTTCGATGATTTTCTACTTCTGCATCATATATATGAGCTCCACAAGGCACGCATCTCTCTTTGGCTCCCTAATATTTAATAGGTGCCTAGAACAGGGATTAGAGCAGAGTAAAACTTGTGAATTATTGATATTGAATAAAGGGATAGGTTAATAAATGAGACTACTTTTCTTTATCTATAAAATGAGAGATTGAATTAAATCATCCCTGAAGTGGCTTTCAACTCCAACCCTCCAGGATTTCACAGTATTACCAAGTCACCAACCTGCCACCTTCACTTCAAGCGTGGCCGTGTCATAGTAGTCTCCTTTTCTGAAGAAGCAGGTGTACAGCCCATCATCAGAAACCTGGACGTTGCTGAGGTGCATAGTCACCATGCCCTGAGTGAGAAAGTCCCTCACCAGTGTGGTCCGCCCTGCATACTGGGGCAGCTGTTTCCCCTTCTGCTCCTGCTGGTTTTGATAGGAGAACACAACTTCTGAGATCTGAGAGCGGAACCACAGAAACTCCATGCTCCTTGCATTCAGAGCTGGTAACAGGGAACAAGTCAGCATAGTGTCGCTGCCAAGTGTTACCACAATGGGGTGTGAGGGGCCTTTCACCAGGAACTTCTCTGTGAAAACAAACAGTGAGCAATGAGGATACTGAACACATGCAGGCTACAAAATTGAGAAAACATATCACAAGAGGGGAAAACTGGGTCAGACCAGGACAGGTGTTAATTGCATGGTCTCAAGCACTGAAAGATTGAGCAATGAGGATTCTTAATCTAGGTAAAATATTCTGGACACAACTTTATGCTTAAGAAATTATGTTAAAAGGACTCAGTCATGAGACTCAAGCCCTTCTGAGAAAAAGTCTAACTCAATGGTTCTCGGGCACTATTGTTGTTGTGGTTACTGTTGTTGCTGTTGTCATTGTCATCATTGTTTTTGTGTACCATCAAGTCGTGTACGACTAATAACAACCCTATGAATAAAAGATGTGTACCCTGTTCTTTCCTGTGCCATCCTCACAGTCCCTGACACACAAGAGCACATTGCAACAGTCACCATGTCAATCCACCTGGTTGAGGGTGTTCCTCTCCTTCACAGACCCTCCACACTTCCCTGCATCATGTCTCTCTCCAGAGAATAGCCTCTCCTAGTAACATACCCAAAGTGAGTGAGGCAAAGCCTCATGATTCTTGGGAACAAAGAGCACTGAGGCTGCACCCTCTTCAAAACATATGTTTGTTCCCTTGGCTCTCCAAGGGATATTCAGATATTCAATGCTCTTCTCCAATGCAGCTCAAAGGTGCCAATACTTTTTCTATCATCCCTATTTATTGTCCAGGTCTCATATGCATAGCAATTGATTGGAAAGACAAACTCTAGCTAACATCAGAAGCACCTAGAGACTTATAAAACTCAGATTGCTGGGCTCCAGATGCCAATAAACTGCCTTCCTATACAGCACCTGATGAAATAACTGTAGTAGTTCCTCAAAACACTAAACTGATGGCTTATGGGTAAGGAATTGCGCTGTTAAGCCAATGGTACGTGCTTTGATCCACCAGCTGCTCTGTGGGATAAAGATGAACAATCTCCTACCTTGCTGTTACTGTCTCTGAAAATTGGCTGGAGGGTTAGCTATGGGTCAGTCCTGACATGATGGTACTCATCAACAACAGTATTAGCATAAATTTTAAAAAAATGACCACCCAGTGGCCATTGAGCAATACTGATTCATAGTAATCCCGTAAACAAAATGAAACTGCCTCCATAGGATTTCCTGTAATATTTATGGAAGTAAATTACCACATCATCAATATGTGGCAGATTTGAACCACTAGTTTTGCCCACTGTGCCACAAGGGCTCACAGCCTTGAAAACCCTGTGGAGCACAATTCTGCTCTGCTTGACAAAGAGTTACCATGAGTCATCATTTATTTGAAGGAAAGTGGTAGTTTTTGCTGTTTCTGTTGGTTGGTTTGTGTATAGAACTATTTTTGTAATTACTTCATTTTACTTGATTCTATAATTAACACCCATGAAAGCAGTAGTCAAGAAATCAGATGATGTAATACATTGGGCACAATGGCTGCCAAGGACCTCTTTAAAGTGCTAAAGAGCAAGGATGTCACTTATTTTATGTGTGTTTGTGTGTGTGAAAAAGTGTACAAATACAATAGGTTTTTATTCAATCATTCATATACATTTTGTTTTGTTGCATTAATTACAATTTATTAACTTAATTAATTGTGAAGTCTTATCAACAAATTACTGTATATTGCATTTTCCTTCACCTATTTCTTAATTCTAACTCCCTTGTCTTTCCCATCCCAGAACTGCAAACTCACTGACATTGATTCTATCTATAACTGGATCTTTCCTTAGATATTAATAATGTTGTTGTCGTTGTTAGGGACCACTGAGATATCTACAACTCATAGCAGCCCTGTGAACAAAGGATCTTTGAACAAAGGGACTTTGCCCTATCTCATGTTATACATACTACCTCTGACACGCCGGAGCCCTTTATTACAGGCACGATCTCTCTCTACATTAATCCACCACCTTTCCAAGCTTGATATCATTTTCAAAGGACCAGCCACTGCTAACAACACACTCATGCCCAAAATATGTGTAGCTTCGCCAGTCTTGCTTACTAGAAGAACGCTGATAATGCTTTTTCAAAGGCTTTTCCATTTGTCCTTTTATTGGTACTTGAGATATTCAGTACTCTTCTCCAACATGACAATTCAAACATAATTATACTTTTTATCATTGCAATGCCATTCAGCATAACTTCTTCTAGATCCACCTGTGTTAGGCAGTGTTTCACAAATTCTTTAACATTTTTTGCGACCTGTAATACATCATTGTGTAAACATGTCATGTTGTTGTTATGTGCCGTCGAGTCGTTTGCAACTCATAGCGACCCTATGTACAACAGCCCTAAACCCTGCTCTATCCTGTGCTAATCTCATTGCCTCTGACACACCCATCCCGATTACCCCAGTCACTGAATCAATCCACCTGATAGAGGGTCTTCCCCTCCT